TGAATGATGCTGGCCTTTAGAGCGAGGGCATCTTGTGGCAAAAAAGTAGTACTGCGAGGGAACATTCTGCTTTGAAAGTGAAATTTGCAACCACAGTTGTTTTTTTTTCTTTTTATTGTTTCTTTTAATGGATATTCATTTTTAACTTGTTATTTTTGGCTGCAGTTTTGCTTTAAGTTGATCACTGTCACATGTACTGTATATGTAAATATATAAATAAATCTGTATTTTAAAGGTGCATTGTGTGGGCTGAGCACATGTCTCCTGTACAGTAGTAGCAGCTGACCGGCTGAACAGACCACTTCTGCAGGAACATCATGTTGTTAACCTCTATATCATCCAAATTTCATTCATATGACTTTATCCACACAAATTGACAAATCTGACTTTTTTTTTTCCCAGTGAATCATCTTGCTCATTACCATTTGCATCACACACAAAATCAGCAGGGGCCTATTTAATAAAGGGCCTGGAGCAACAGCCATAACTATCACATCTAATTTATTTAGTGAGATTTGGAAGAAGATTTAGCTCCTCTGACTGTGTCAGCTGTAATTAAAACTGAACCTCGAACACCGCGGAAAGAGGAAGCCCCAACATTGAAATACAGCGAGAGCATTGTGGGTCCTGTGTTCTACAGAAGTATAGTTTAATCTCAGTAATGGGTAATAATGATCATATGAGTGATGACTGACGCCAGGGGTGTGGGGGGTCATTGAGGTAACACTGTGGGTGATCCCAGCCAAGAAATACGATTCGCTAAATTACAATGCATGTGTTATTTGTCATACTAATCTTAAAGTGACAGTAAACTCTGTTTTTTTAAAAAATTATTTATTCAAGTATGTATTCCTAACACAGAAAAGTCCCTTCTATTGCTCTCAGCCTCTTCCAAATCTCCAAATTTCCTTTTTTTTTTGCTGTTGTGATCTGACTTCCTGTTAGAGGGTGACTACGTTTGTTCTCCATGGTCCCATTGTATGTAGGAATGTAGCCACCCTCTCTTGCTCACTCCTGAGATGGATTATGTGATCTGTAATGTGCACATGACTGCAACCAGGACTTTCTCAGAGAATAGGTTTCCAAACCGTACCCTTGTCACTGCCCCCTACCCACCTCTGTGCACCATCTCTTGGTTCCTCATCCTACCTACCTCCCAGCACCTCCCCCTTTATTGACTACAGAACCAAGTATTTTGTGGTGCTAAGTGACATGGAATTTGCTAATGTTAGCAAGAAAAGCAGTAGAATAGATGTTATGCAGCCAGCAGCACTAGACCCCTCTAGCAACAATAGATTCACTTATCAACAATAGAACCTCAGCAACAATAGATCCACCCATCAACAAAAGACTCACCCAGCCACAATAGATCCACCCCAGCAACAATATATATCCCACGCAACAATAGACACCCACAGCATCAATATATCCACACCAGAACCAATAGATCCACCCACCGACAATATATCTCCCAAGCAACAATAGACTCCCCTAGCAACAATAGATTCACCCCATCAACAATAGAACCCCAGAAACAATAGATCCACCCATCAACAATAGACTCACCCGGCCACAATAGATCCACCACAGCAACAATAGACCCCAACAAGAATAGATTTACCCACCAACAATATATATCCCAAGCAACAACAGACAACCACAGCATCAATAGATCCACCCCAGCAACAATAGATCCACCCACCAACAATAGATCTCCCAAGCAACAATAGACTCCCCAGCAACAATAGATTCACCCATCAACAATAGAACCCCAGCAACAATAGATCCACCCATCAACAATAGACTCACCCAGCCAGAATAGATCCACCCCAGCAACAACAGACCCCAAGAAGAATAGATCTATCCACCAACGATATATATCCCAAGCAGCATCAATAGATCCACCCCAGCAACAATAGATCCACCCACCAACAATAAATCTCCCAAGCAACAATAGACTCCCCTAGCAACAATAGATTCACACAGCAACAATAGAACCCCAGCAACAATAGATCCACCCATCAACAATATACTCACTCAGCCACAATTGATACACCCCAGCAACAATATATATCTCAAGCAACAATAGACACCCCCAGCATCAATAGATCCTCCCCAGCAAGTATAGGTCCACCCACCAACAATAGATCTCCCAAGCAACAATAGACTCTCCTAGCAACAATAGATTTCCCCAGCAACTATAGACAACCCAGCAACAGTAGATCCCCCAGCAACAATAGAGCCCCCAGCAATAAAATACCCCCCAGAAACAATAGATTTACCACCAGCAACAATGGACCACCACCAGCAACAATACATCTCTCCCTCAACAGTAGATCCCTCCCAGAAACAACTGAACGCCCCAGCAATATGAGACCCCCTAAAAATAATTGATCCCTCACCAGCAACAATAGACTCCTCAGCATTAAAAGATGCCCCCACAACAAAAGACCCACCCCAGCAACCATACATACATTCAATGCTGGGGGTGCCGGCACTGTGCTTCCCCCACGTTCTAACTAAAAAAAAATTGACTGCAATTAATGTGCACTGCTTCTTGTAAACACTCAGAGAGGGAAAAGAGAGGATTGGGAGCTCATGTAGGACGTAACAAGGAGGCAGAAGGAACAATGAGGAACAATTTCTTGATAAAATACAATAAAAGCATCAGAGAATGTGCTGTCCCACGTCTAGGACTGTTTTCTGTGATGTATTGAACTGTATCAGGTTGTCTTTGTTTGATGTATGCTGACATCTAGAGGCAGTTTGGGGTCACTACTATGTGTTTGCTCGTGATTTGACACCTCCTTCTGTCTCCCCTCTGTTTGGAGCTGGTTATTCAGTTCTAGTTAGACCCTCCCTGTTTCTTCCATGTTCCCTCAGTCAGTGTTAGTACTCTTGAGTCCTCATGCACACGGGACATTTTGATAACACTGGTAACGTTAGCTGTGTAAAGTCACGTTAAAGAACGTGAGTTTTTCAGCTTTTTTAATGTTTTTGCATTAGCGTTTAGCTTTGTTTTGCCACAATTAGTGGCGGTTTTTTGCGTTTTTCAGCATTTCCATTTTTTTAAAAAAAAAAGAATTTTTTTGGTCAAAAAAAGGTCCAAAAACACTGGTTCGTGGCGTTTTACTGCATTTTACCGCATTTTTCAGCATTAGAGCGTTTTTACAGCTAAAAAACTCCTCTAGAAACCCACTAGTCCTGGGTTTTTATCCCAGCCAAAAAATGTCCCAGCCAAAAAACGTTGATTACAGTCTATGTGTGCATGGACACATAGGAGAACATGCTGGGGAGTTTACTAGCTGTAGAAAAAAAACATCAAAAGCCAAAAACAGTGGCTGTAAAAACGTCAAGTGTGCATGAGGGCTTAGAGACAGGGATTAGGAAAGTCATTGTCTTCTTACACTTCAAAAGACTGGAAAAACAGCCTCTGTACTGCAATTAGCTAAGGTAAAAACTGCATTGTTTTCAGCTTTTATGTTTTATTGAAGAGTTAAGCTGCCTGTGGAAGGTGCCAAGTCAGCAGGTAACCAAACTGTCCAGACAGACTGGGGTTGATTTACTAAAACTAAAGAGTGGAACATCTGGTGCAGCTGTACATGGTAGCCAATCAGCTTCTAACTTCAGCTTGTTCAAATAAGCGTTGGCAATAAAACCTGGAAGCTGATTGGTTTCTATGCAGAACTGCACCAGATTTTGCACTCTCCAGCTATAGTAAATCAACCCCACTGGGTCTAAGGAGGGAAGTAAATGCATAAAGCGGCATTTGAAAGAGAATAGTGAATCAAACCCTTTCCCTGCTCTATCCAAAACCACACAAAGAGTTTTTTGTTGTTGCTGTAGTTCCATGTCCTCTTCTGCCTTGACAACTTAGCAGTCTGATTTGTTGGGTGGAGGAGCATGTAGGCATATATGTGATGACTGACAAAAAACTGTCGTCACCCATCCAGACAATGACTTCTCCATCTTTATACCTGGACTAGTCAGCACTAGTCCTTTGGAGCTGATCTCGGCTACACGCCCTCTGGATAATCCTTTTCAACACTTGTTCTGTTATTTTAATGCATTAATATCCAGTGTAATGCATGGAATCATACTAATAGGAATTGTGTCACCCACAGGGCTTAGCGATAAGCAAATATCCCATTACCATCTTAATCTGTAGCGGTTACTTGTTGATAGCTGTCCTGACATACGCTGCAGGGGCAGGTGGCTCTTAAAGTGGACCTGTCATAAGACGCTCTTCCTTTATTATTATTATTCAGTATTTATATAGCGCTCAGGTTTGCTCAGCGCTGTACATTATAGTGGGGGACAGTACATGAGACAATACAGTAACAAAACAGCACACAAGGGGTTCAAGGCCCTGCTCTTTCGAGCTTACAATCTAGGAGGGAGGGGATAGTGACACAGGAGGAAGTGGCTGTGGGGGATGGAGTGGTGGGAGGAGAGGAGGAGATCGGCTATTAGGTGAGGGCGGGGTAGGCTTTCCTAAAGAGATGGGTTTTCAGGGTGCACCTAAAGGTGAGGAGGGTAGGTGACAGTCTGATGGATTGGGGTAGTGAGTTCCAGAGGATGGGGGAAGTCCTGGAGAAGTCCTGCAGTCCTGGCGTGGGAGGTGGAGACCAGGGAGCTAGAAAGTAGGAGGTCTTGTGAGGAGCGAAGATTACGGGTTGGGTGGTATTTGGGTATCAGGTCGGTGAGGTAGTTTGGGGCAGCATTATTATGAATGGCTTTGTACGTTAATGTTAATAGTTTGAATTGAATGCATTGGGCAACCGGGAGCCAGTGAAGGGATTGGCAGAGGGGGGTGGCAGAAGCGGAGCGGTTGGTGAGGTGGATGAGTCTGGCCGCTGAGTTCAGGATAGACTGAAGCAGAGATAGCCTGCGATGAGGTAGGCCAGTGAGAAGGGAGTTGCAGTAGTCCAGACGTGAGATAATAAGGGAGTGAACGAGTAGTTTAGTAGTGTCTGGGGTTAGGAACGAATGTATTTTGGAGATGTTGTGGAGGTGGAGCCTGCATGATAATATAGAATGCACTTGGTCATGGGATTCTGTTCATTCACCATGGTTCCTCTGTATGAGATGGTCCCAAGAAAGGGCGGACTGACAACTCATGGGGCCCCCGGGCAATAGGAGATCATGGGGCCCCTGTGTCCTTGCCCACACCATAAAAAGCCTATGAAAAAGCCAATGAAAGGTATCTCATGGGGCCCCCGACTGACCCCGGCCCTCGGGCAGTGCCCGAGTGCTCAAATGGTCAGTCCACCCCTGGTCCCAAGATAGACTATGAACTGTGGAATGTGTACATGACCACAACAAACCTGCACTGCTAGTTCTAAATGTTAAGTCCTCATGCACAGCGGACGTTTTTACAGCGGCTGTTTTTGGCTTTTGACATTTTTTTCTACAGCCAGTAAACCCCCCAGCAAGTTATCCTATGTGTCCATACACACATAGACTGGAATCAATGTTTTTTAGCTGGAAGAAAAATCCCGGACTAGTGTTTCTAGAGGAGTCTTTTAGCTGTAAAAAACGCTCTAATACTGAAAAATGCAGCAAAACGCAGTAAACCTCTGCATACCGGCGTTTGTGGACTTTTTTTTACTAAAAAAAAATGTTTCCAGTTATAAAAACCTCAAAAACACAAACGTGGGAAACTGCCGCTAAACGCGTCAAAACGCCACTAAACGCTAATGCAGAAACACTAAAAAAAGCTGAAAAACTCACTTTTTACCATGACTTACACAGCTAATGTTACCAGCATTATCAAAACACCCTGTGTGCGTGAAGCTTTAAAGCAGAGCTCCACCCAAAAGGGGAAGTTCTGCTTTAAGGACTGCTCCCCATTAAGGATTGGCACCTTTGGGGGGCGGGGGGGAGGGGGTACCCGAATTTGACAGGTACCCACTCCCATTTCCGGTCCGATCACCTAGGACGGTGTCCTCCCCTCCCTCCCTGTAGTCTTTTGAGACACGTCACAGGTCCCAGAAGACTACAGGACCATTCATGAAGCGCAGCGCTACTCGCACATGTGCAGTGGGTACAGAAGCCACAAGCTATCACAGCTGGGTGCCCACACTGAAGATGCCGGCCTCCTGGAATACAGGACGGTCGGTGAAACGGGATGCAGGGGACACACCACGGGACCGAGGGACAGGTAACTGGCTGTTTTTTAAAAGTCAGCAGCTACAGTGTTTGTAGATGCTGACTTTTATTTTTTGACAGGTGAGTGGAACTCCACTTTAAGGATTATCTGTGATCTGAGCAATGACAAAGGTGCAGCCTGCAGTATCTGTACCAAAGAGGAGACAGAAAACACGTTGCTCACTTGCATTCCAAATTTAATATCTCTAACAAAAATGGATCATATTATACAGAAAATAATTTCTTTATAATGGCAGCGCAGGCCACATGGAAAAGCACGTCAATTTGTATTCGAGAATTACCATTACTAACACAGAAGATACTAAACAGAGAATGTGAATGTCAGAGCAAACACAAAAACTAAAGAAAGATAGCAAAACAAAGTGTGACAAACCTGTATCTAAGGGGAGAGCACAAATCATGTCATATATGAACTTGTTGGTATTAGTCTCCTGAAGTCACACTACACATCAAGGGTGTCAAACTGGCGGCCCTCCAGCAACTACAAGGCCCATCATACCTCTGCCTTTGGGAGTCATGCTTGCAGCTGTCAGCCTTGCAGTGCCTCATGGGACTTGTAGTTTGGCAACAGCCAGAGGGCTGCCAGTTTGGCACATCATTAGAGCTCCCCCTAGCTGCAGTCTAGTCATTGCATTACTGGGAGGTTTATTCATTTATTTGCTACACAAACTCCTTTACTTTTTCTTTGTAAGTCAATTCTAAAATGAAAACAGTGTCACAAGGGCACTACTGATAACTCCATGGAGTGTAGCACTGTGAACCGAGTGCCTTTCTGGTGCAAGGCATTGGTTAGTTTTATCCCACAGAAGAGCTACTGTAGCTCAGATTGCTGAAAAAGTTAATGCTGGTTATGATAGAAAGGTGTCAGAACACACAGTGCATCGCAGATTGTTATGTATAGGGTCAGTGGTGTATTTAGGTTTTGTGCTGCCCTACTTAGCACAAAAATCGTCTGCCCCAACGGACACCGACCAACACCAACTCCCTTCCCCCTCCTGCGGAGATCCTGACAGTAACCAACAATACCCCTGCCCTCCACTTGGGAGAGCCTTCCACTACCCCCTTGTGATAGAGAGAAAGACACTCATCTTCAAAGCTCCAGACATCCCTGGGAACGGGAGTCAGACTCTGCATACACCATCAAGCAGCCCACAGCCTCTCTTGGATCCCACCTGGTTCCCATGGCACACATGTCCCTTCTTTCATCCCATCTTTGGAGGAAGGTGCTGCCCCCCTGAAAAATGCCGCCCTTGGCAAGTGCCTTGTTTGCCTTGTGGCAAATACACCCCTGTATAGGGCTGTGTTGCTGCAGATCAGTCAAGGTGTCCATGCTGACCCGTGTCCCCAGCCAACAGTTCCTACAATGGGTGCATGAGCATCAGAACTGGACCACAGAGCAATAGAAGAAGGTGGCCTGGTCTGATTGATTCAAAAATGCTTTGAAGAACACAACAAGGGGTTTGGGGTGTTAACCTGACCTCCATATTCTCAGATCTCAATCCAATTAGGTATTTGTTGGATGTGTGGGGAAAAACAAGTCCGATCCATGGAGACCCCATCTCGTATCTTACAGGCCGCCTCTCCTCCCTTCCACTGCCATATTGGGCACTTTTTTGGGTGGAGGGGATACCTGGTTTTGACAGGTACCCGCTCCCACTTCTGGCTCAGTTCGCCACGGCAAATTGAGCCAGACTTTTGTCCCCCCTCCTTCCTCCTGCAGTCTTCTGGGACCCTTCACAGGTCCCAGAAGACTGCCGGACCAATCGTGGATGTGTTAACCTGACCTCCATATTCTCAGATCTCAATCCAATTAGGCATTTGTGCGATGTGTGGGGAAAAAACAAGTCCGATCCATGGAGGCCCCATCTCGTATCTTACATGACTTAAAGCGGAGTTCCATCCAAAAGCGGAAGCTCTGCTTATTTGCCTCCCCCCCCCCTCCACTGCCATATTTGGCACTTTTTTGGGGGGAGTGGATACCTGGTTTTGACAGGTACCCTCTCCCACTTCTGGCTCAGTTTGCTGTGGCAAAGTGAGTTAGAAGTTCGGCCCTCTCCTTCTCCTGCAGTCTTCTGGGACACTTCACAGGTCCCAGAAGACTGCCGGACCAATCAGGATGTACAGTGCGACTCACGCATGCGCAGTGGGCACCCGGCTGTGAAGCTGCAAGCTGTCACAGCCTGGTGCCCACAGTTGAGATGCCGGTGAAGGGGAGAGAAGGAACAGCGTGGGTGAGCACATCACTGGACCCAGGGACAGGTAAGTGTGTGTTTATTAGAGGTCAGCAGCTATAGTTTTTGTAGCTGCTGACTTTTAATAAACATCAAAATGACTGGAATTCTGCTTTAATGGATCTGCTACACACGGTTTGGTGTCTTATGCTACAGCATACCTCAGAGGTCAAGCGGCGTCCATGCCTTGATAGGTTATGGTGGATTCTCATAATGTTATGGCTGATCAGTGTGTAAAATATATATATATATATATATAGATACATATATATGAAAAAAACAGTAATTAGAGCCTTCTTTTTAAATGTATGTGAAACCCTTTGCAAAATGTATAAATAAACCTTTGCCATTATAGTCAGAGACATTAAGATTGTATGAGGAAAAAGCATAAATGTGAATAGAGCCATTCACTATAATTGGAAAGATCTCATCATGCATTCTGTATGCAGTGTCACATGGATTAACTGGGCCAACAAAGTGCAAATATGAACAGTGCCGTATTTGTATAATGTAATTGGGCATATTATTCCCAGTATAAGCACCTTGCTTAGGATAATTGGAGTCAGTGAAATCCTGAACTAAATTATTCGTTCTACTTAGCCTTAATAGATTAGGAGTCCTGTCTATATAATCTCCCTTCCACCTCCATACTATTTATTTATATTGTGAGGCAATGACTGGTAGGATTGTGGATGGTGTGTATGTGTCACCTAGGTTTCAAACATACACAAGGTATAGGGCTGCAGGGTTTATAGCTGAGGTGGGGTAAACCAACTTTCTCTTTTCTCAGAATCTTAACAAGTTCTGGTTGGGTCCTGGAACCCGGAGGCTTTGTAGAGCTTTGGGTGGGAAAAAACCTTCATTCCTAGGGCCACATCTTTCCCGGTATTCACACATCATTATTGTTTAGGTTGAGTTTTAGGTTGGCGGTTTCAGTGGAGTGTTGTGGGTAGGAGCCAGCCTGTAAGGGTAAGATCGTTATCTTTGTGGTCGCAGCTCAGATGGTTGTAGACTAGGCGTTCTAGATGTTTGAAAGTAAATAGAAGGTGGGAGATGGGTCTTACAGGACTTAAAGTGGAGTTGCCTATCTATCTATCTATCTATCTATCTATCTATCTATCTATCTATATGTATCTAATTATCTATCTATCTATCTATCTATCTATCTATCTATCTATCTATCTATCTATCTATCTATCAATTATCTATCTATCTATCTATCTATCTATCTATCTATCTATCTATCTATCATATCTATCTATCTATCTATCTATCTATCTATCTATCTATCTATCTATCTATCTATCTATCTATCAATCATCATTATCTATCTATCATCAATTATCTATCTATCTATCTCTATCTATCTATCTATCTATCTATCTATCTATCTATCTATCTCTATTTATATTTTTTTGTATGGGAAAAAATGAGTATATTATTCTTAATAAATACACATTGCTTAACCCCTTGACGCCGACTGTACGGAAATATGTGGCCTTTCAGGGGCTGGGCCTTGACGCATATTTGCGTACCAGTTGAAAACATGTGCTTAGAGCGCGCACGACCTGTGGGCTCCCAGTACATATGTTGGTGTCTCACGGAAAGGTCCCGACCTAACCCTTGCGATCGGGACCTTT